AAAAAAAAAAAAAAAAAAAAAAAAAAAGATATAAGAGTCCCTTTCTTTGAGGTGCTCACAGCCAGTGAAGAAGACAGATAACAGGCCGGGCACAGTGGCTCATGCCTATAATCCCAGCACTTTGGGAGGCTGAGCGGATGGATCACGAGGTCAAGAGATCGAGACCATCCTGGTCAATGAGGTGAAACCCTGTCTCTACTAAAAATACAAAAATTAGCTGGGCATGGTGGTGTGCGCCTGTAGTCCCAGCTACTCAGGAGGCTGAGGCAGGAGAATTGCTTGAACCAGGAAAGCAGAGGTTGTGGTGAGCTGAGATCGTGCCATTGCACTCCAGTCTGGGTAACAACAGTGAAACTCCGTCTAAAAAAAAAGACAGATATCATAAGGGAAGGAAACATGAGGAACAAGAGAAACTTCCAAGTCTCAAAAAGAGCTAACTTCCCAGAGGGAATGAGGAGCAGAAATCTGAAGAGTGGGAAGCTGGACAGGGTATCCAGGCAGAAGGAATATCATGTGCAAAAGCTCGGAAGTATTAAAAAAAAAAAAAAAAAACCCAGTTCGTGTTGTGTTAGTTGTTAAGAGTGTAGATTGCATGGAGAGAATAGCTGGAGGAGTAGTTTTCACCAGGCTGAGAGGTTTAAATATCCTTAGATATTGTTATTCTCATTTTCAGGTGAGGAAACTTAGGTTCAGGTCCCATGTGGAGTAAGTGGCAGGGCTGGTATTCGAACTCAGTTCTGATTCTCTGTCCACTCCACTGCAAGGAAGTGGTGCTTATTAGTCACATTAGTGTGAATGACAAGTTCTGGAGGTGGTGTGATATTGGAAGGCTCACAGGTGAAGTGGGCATTGAGAGACTTAGGACTTGCTTCCGGCACCTATGTGTTCTCCTTTCCCTGCTCTGAGTTCCAGGTCCAGCAGCTCCTGCGGCAAGCCCAGCGGGGGACAGAGGAAAAGAGAGAGAGGGCTCTGGTCAGCCTTCGTCGAGGCTTGCAGCACCCTGAAACTCAGCAAACCTTCATCCAGTTAGTATGGGTGGTGTGGGAGAGGTGGGAGCTGGGTCTCTGAGGGATGGACCACAAGCTGAGCAGGGCTCTGGTACTCATTTTGTAGGCTGGAGGGCAGCATGCGGACCCTGGTTGGGCTCCTTACCAGCAACCAGGCCCAGCTGCAGCTCGAGGCGGCTCGGTGCCTGCATGAGCTCTCTCACTCCGAGCAGTCTACTGTTGCTGAGGCCTGCCTGCCAGCCACTTCCTACCTTCTCACCTACCTCTCCAGTCACAGCTCAGACTTCATAGTAAGCCCTGTGCCTTCCTATCTTGTTCTTGGCTTAGATTTTAAAATTTGTGCTTTTGGGACCAGTTTGAGCTGGCAGGTGGGAGGAAGAAAACATGTTCACCCTACAGCCATGTCTATACCCATCATCTCCCCACCCTCTTGTGAGCCTCAAGGATAGCTGCTCCAGTGTCCCCAACACCTCCCCTCCCTTAACCTGGCATGAAACAGATCAAGCCCAGTGTTTTTGTTGCCTGTTCTCAGGAGCTGTGTCTGTATACACTGGGTAACCTGATTGTGGAGAGTGAGGCTGTGAGAAGGCAGCTCCTGCCACAAGGCATTGTTCCAGCCTTGGCTGCCTGCATCCAGGTGACTCCTTTCTTCCTCCCTGGGCAACCCTTCCTTTGCTCCTCCCCACATGCTCCATCTCCTTTGGTTAGGTAGCTCTAGCCTCTGCCCTGTGCCTAGGGGCTGAGTCTCTGGAGACCTTAAGACTCAGCTTTCAGTCAGATTCTTACCCTGTCTACTTCCAGTCCCCCCATGTGGCTGTGCTGGAAGCTCTCGGATTTGCCTTGTCCCAGCTTCTACAGGCTAAGGAAGCTCCAGAGAAGATCATCCCGTGAGTAAAATTGTCTTTAGATGTGCAGCCAGAAGTGATCCACTCATTACTATAGTTCCCAGATGCCTGAGTGATTTCCAAAGCTTTTGCACTTTTAACTTCATGTGTCTGGCTAGAAATAGTTGTAGGTTTGGACATTTTTCCCACCTGGGAAGGGCTTTGGGTTTGGACACTTTCCCATCTTTTATAAGGGTTTGGTAAAAGCCACTGGCATCTTCGTGGTTCCTACTCACAGCCCTGTTTCTGCCAGCAGCTCCATCTTGGCCTCCACTCTCCCTCAGCACATGCTACAGTTGTTGCAACCTGGCCCAAAGCTGAACCCTGGGGTCGCTGTGGAGTTTGCCTGGTGCCTTCATTACATCATCTGCAGGTAACGTAGGCCAGTTGGGAAGGTACCACAGATCTTCCCTGAGGCCGCTTCCATGACACTCAACTCTTTGAACTTGTGTCTGGAATTGCTGTAGTGAGTTTTCATTCCTCCACTGTCCTCTCTCTTTTTGGAGCCTGGGAGACCCACAGACATCAGCTGTTTCTCTTCTTTTTTTTTTGTTTTTGAGACAGTCTTGCTCTGTCTCCAGGCTGGAGTGTAGTGGCACAATCTCGGCTCACTGCAACCTCTACCTCCTGGGTTCCAGCGATTCTTCTACCTCAGTCTCCCGAGTAGCTGGGACCACAGGCGTATGCCACCACGCCTGGGTAATTTTTTTTTTTTTTTGTATTTTTAGTAGAGATGGGGTTTCACCATTTAGGCAGGTTGGTCTCCATCGCTTGACCTTGTGATCCGCCCGCCTCAGCCTCCCAAAGTGCTAGGGTTATAGGTGTGAGCCACCACGCCCGCCTGTTTCTCTTCTTCTTCTTCTTTTTTTTTTTTTTTTTTTGAGATGGAGTTTCGCTTTGTTACCCAGGCTGGAGTGCAATGGCACCATCTTGGCTCACCGCAACCTCCGCCTTCTGGGTTCAAGCAATTCTCCTGCCTCAGCCTCCCGAGTAGCTGGTACTACAGGCGTGCACCACCATGCCCAGCTAATTTTTGTATTTTTAGTAGAGACTGGGTTTCACCTTTTTGACCAGGATGGTCTCGATCTCTTGACCTCGTGATCCACCCATCTTGGCCTCCCAAAAGGGATTATAGGCGTGAGCCACTGCACCTGGCCGTTTCTCTTCTTAAAGGTGGAATTGACTATATACATAGTGACTGCTTGCTTCCTGTTGCCCAGCCAGGTTAGCAATTCCCTGCTTATTGTCCATGGGGCTCTGTCTACTTTGGGGTTGCTGCTGTTGGATATGGCTGAGGCTGTCCAGAGAACTGAGGATACAGGACTGGAGCTGGTAGGTAAGGAGAACAGGTGAAATTCTGGGAGATGTTTCCTCATACTGTGGAATGCAGGTAACCTCTTCCTCCTTACACCTGACCCCCAATTTGTCTTTGCAGCTGGCATGCCCTGTGCTTCGATGTGTAAGCAACCTGCTAACTGAGGCAGAAATGGAGACTGTCGGAGGGCAAATGCAGCTCAGAGATGAGCGCGTTGTGGCAGCCTTATTTATCCTTCTGCAGTTCTTTTTCCAGAAACAGCCCAGTCTGCTTCCTGAGGGCCTCTGGCTCCTCAACAACCTCACTGGTATGCACCATCTGCCCAAGGCTGGACATTTGGATAATGGGGATATTTCCTCATGGCCTAGGCTGAGGTGGGTAGGATTGGCAGGGGTGGTGGGGGAAAGCAGTTTTTTCACCCTGGTACTTCTCTTCCAGCAAACAGTCCTAGTTTCTGTACCTCCTTGCTCTCCCTGGATCTGATTGAGCCCCTCTTGCAGCTGTTGCCAGTATCTAATGTGGTGAGCGTAATGGTATGTAGTGGGGTCACTTGAATCCAAGATCTGGTAGTCAGATTGTATGGGAGAGCAGTCCTGAGCCCTCAGAAGTACCCTTAGCTGAGAGCCAGCTGGTGGTGTAGTGGGGCCTCGGGGCCCCAACCAGTCTAGGTGTGTGTCCCTTAAACTGGATTATTTATCCTTGGACAAATCAACTAACCACCTTAAACTTCAGTGTCCTCACTTATAATTGGGGATAATAATTCTCATACTCCTACAACTGCCTCATAGGAGTTGAGGACATGCATGTAGAAGAGCTTGGTATGGTCCCTGGGCATGTGGTCAGCATGCCATATATTTCAGCTGTTATGATCTTTGCATTTCATTCTTTGTAGACTATATATATGTCTGTCTGCAGGTGCTCACAGTTCTGTGCAATGTTGCAGAGAAGGGTCCTGCCTACTGCCAGAGGCTGTGGCCAGGACCCCTGCTTCCTGCCTTACTGCAGACACTATTGTTTTCTGACACTGAAGTAGTAGGCCAGAGTTTAGAGCTGCTGCATCTGCTGTTCCTGTATCAGCCAGAGGTATAGGTTTCTGGCCCACATCCCCAATCACCCTGTTCTGAAGCCACACAGTGGCTCCCTTCCTGTTTAGTCCTAACTATGGTGGTTTCTCTGGGTCTGGCTAACCTATATAGGTTCCATGTCAGAACCTTCATCCTCTTGTGGGGAATGCACCCATGAGGCTGTGGAAATTGAGTCTTAGGACACAGAGACCAAGGTGTGTTGAATTTTTTTTCTTCCTTGCCCCTAGGCTGTTCAGGTATTCCTGCAGCAGTCAGGGCTGCAGGCCCTGGAAAAGCATCATGAGGAGGCCCAGCTCCAGGATCGTGTGTATGCTCTCCAGCAGACAGCTCTTCAAGGGTGATCTTCTTTCTCAGTGTTATTCATTCCCCTCTCTTAACCTCAACCTTCTTTGTCCAGTAGAGTCTTTAGAGATTTAGGACCATAATGAGGTCTCATGCACTCTACTCCCACACCTAAGCCAAGACCTTTGGGTCTCAGCTTCTCGTTCACTCAGCACTATCTAGGCAGGAGGACCAAAGGGGACTTAGTGTAGTCTACTTATTCTGGGGCCCCAGAATCCCTGTCCCCCACCCCCTTCATTTTTGCTTCAGCAGCTGGTAGCCTTTGATGAGACAGAATAAAGTTTTATTTTTATATTAAACTACTTTGCCTCACTGGTTGCATAGTAAGGGGTAGAGGGCAGATGATGACAAGAACACCCTGAGAAAATATTTTACAGCACAAGCTTTATAAGGATTAGGAGAACACATTTTTTTTTCACATACACTAAGTCCATCAGAGCCCAGTCTCTGAGGCAGTTGCTCTTAATCCTCAGTGGAGGTTTCAGGCTTTACCACTTAACACATTCTCCAGGGCTCTGGTTACCTCATCAGCACTGAAGTTGTTCAGAGAGACATTCTTCTCTTGGCCAAATGCTGAGGAGAGAGAGGGAGGTGTCTTAAGTATTTTTTCTGCACCGTGTAGGCTACCAAAGTAAAATAAAAGGTCCTTTATCTTACAGTCTTGTTAAGATGGGAAGAGTACACTTGGTATGCCTAGAATTAATACAATGGGTCTCAAACACATCTAGGAAGCCCAAGTCTAAATAGAATTTTGGCTGATTCTGGACAGCTACAATGGGTTGTTTCAGGGAAGCTAAAGCTTTATAGTTAACTACTGTGAGCAGTGTATATTGCATGGGTCCAACCTTGGCTGGGTGCCCATTTCCTAGGCGTCTATGCTAGCTCACATAATACCCAGCACAATACACTGAAGTTACTCGTGTCTATCTCCTTGTAGTCTACTGTCTTTTGGGAGGAGCTTTTTTTCCTCCTCCAATTATTAATGCATGACATACTACAGAAGTCTGTGAGAACCAATCTGCTTAAGGTGGTCACTCTCCTCCACCTTCCCACTGACATTTCCAGGGTACCATATAGTTAAAAGCTGTGATTAAAATCCTGTTATTCAGTATGTATAAATATTTATTGCATACCTACAATGTGTTAGGCAACGTGATAGGAAAATTTCATTTTGCAATATATTGGAATAGGGTAATATAAAAAGGAGCTAGAAGCAGTCAGCGAATGCCTTTTTGAAGCAGTAACATACATGACCAGAATAATAACCTGAATAAGGAGCCAGCCATGCCAGTCTTAGAGAGGTAAGTACATTCTAGAAAAGGGGAATAAATGTAAAGCCTCAATCCTGTTTTATCCTAGCTGCATTACTTTAGCTAGGTTCCACAAGGTTTTGATTCCATTTTTTTCCTAATCTCTACAATGAGAAAAGAAGAACACGCTTCCTCATGACAAATGAAGATTAAATGAGGTTGGGCCCGGTGGCTCACACCTGTAATCCCAGCATTTTGGGAGGCGGAGGCAGGGTGATCACGAGGTCAGGAGACCATCCTGGCCAACATGGTGAAACCCCGTCTGTACTAAAAATACAAAAATTAGCTGGGCATGGTGGTTGCACGCCTGTAATCCCAGCTACTTGGGAGGCTAAGGCAGGGGAATTGCCTGAACCCAGGAGGTGGAGGTTGCGGTGAGCCGAGATCGCACCATTGCACTCCAGCCTGGGTAACAAGAGTGAAACTCCGCCTTAAAAACAAACAAACAAATAAATAAAATAAAAATAAAAATTACTGAGATTCTCACACTATCTGGACAGACAATAGCTACATGTTATTTGAACGAAACTATACTGACTAGCTTCTCTCCTATGAGAAACCCATTCTCAGCTACAAAAACATCAGTTCTTGGTCCCTACGCAGGACTCGGGTCAGCCTATATACTTATGTTGCCAGGGATACAAGGCATCATATAACTCTGAGAATATAAATTTCTTCATGGCAACAAGATCAACAGCAAGGCTAAGTCCGAGTTCTAGTTTCTCCATGGGTTTCCGCACGACCTTGGGCGGTCCCTTCTCTTCTCAAACCCTTGTTCCCCTACCGGAGCCCCAGATCCCTGGCGTCTCGCACTCACCGTAGCGGGCCCAGAGTTTGGGATGCACATCCGAGCACTCGCGGATTAGAATGGGTAGGTCGGGATTCGCCTTCTTCAGCTCCACGTAGCGTTTCTCAATGAAGTCCCTGCAGGGCCGGAGAGCGCCGCGCGTGCTGTGGACGCGGGCTTCCCCAATTTCAGGGAGGTCGAGGTCGTGACCCCGGCGTCCCCAAGCCCGCCCGCCTCACCACGCCGCGCCTCACCTGACGCCCTGGCTGCCGGGTGAGCGCTGACATAAGTGGATGCGAATCTCTCGCAGGGCCAGCTTTACCCCGAGTCCTCGACTCGCTGCGGCCGCCGCCATCTTGGGTAATACCGAAGTCACCAGTGCCAGGTCTTCCGGCCAAGTTCTCAGGTTGGACCAATCGCGGACCCTCCAGCCTAGGCCAAAGGCTGGATGACGCAGGGAAAGCTTAGCCAATGATATGCAAGTATTGTAGGACCGCCCTTTGCGCGCAGGGTTGGTCAGAGGCAAAAACAGGAAGCGGAAAGGCTGAGAACGCAAAGCAGTGTGGGTTGATTCTAAGGTGCACCGTGGGAAAGGGCTTGGCACTGCGGTGTTGCTGTTGGAGACTCGATCGTTGGTGACATCGGAAGACCGCGAACAAAATGCCGGAGCGAGATAGTAAGGGTCATGCCATCCGTTATTTCTCATGGCACTCGGGGCACTTGGCACATTACTGTAGCTTCTGAGCTCGAGCCGCTGTGTGTGTGTGTGTGTGTGTGTGTGTGTGTGTGTGTGTGTGACGCTTGAGCCCCGCGAAGCCGTAGGGCCCCCAGTGAGGCCGGACAGCTCCAAACTCCGTACCCAAGCCTCGCTCCTACTCCAACTGATGATGGGTAGCTTTTGTCTGTGGTTCACTTTCCCCAAATCCTGTCCCCGTACTTAATCCTGGGTTGCGCGTATCATCTCTTACGTAGTATTTTAGACGTGATCTCAGGAAGTCTCTGGTCGTGCACCTTAGGGTTAGGGTCCTCTGCTTTGTGCTCCCACAGCTTCTTGTAGTTTCCCATTTCAGCACTTATTACCTTATGTTTTCACTGCCCCTGTTCTACCTCTTGTTCTATATGTTGTTCACTGCTCTATCCCAAATTTTTGCACAGGATCTGACACATAAGAGACTGATTAAATTAACCTCAATTCTTTTTGTCAGGTGAGCCATTCTCCAACCCTTTGGCCCCCGATGGCCACGATGTGGATGATCCTCACTCCTTCCACCAGTGAGTATTTTGTCGTAGGACCATGGAAATGAGCTGGGCAATGGATAGAGGAATGGTGGTGATGATGAAAGAATTCTGAATGACTTGTCATTATGGATGGTCAAAAATTAATTATGCCCGCTGGCCCTTTATCTCTGTGAACCTTACCTGGATCAGGCCAAGTGCATAAGGGTATGAGAGGAAATTCTGGCAAGAACGGTGATAAGTTTTTGTTTTGTTTTGTTTTTAATATATGTTATGTAATTACACATTATATAGGAATTCCTTCTTCCAATAGAAAATAGAAACATAGGAAATAAGGGTAAAATCATCATTGATAACATTATCAATTCCAGTTCATTTTTTTTTTTTCCTTTTTGGAGACAGAGTATCACTCTGTCACCCAGGCTGGAGTGCAATGGCGCCATCTCAGCTCACTGCAACCTCCGCTTCCCAGGTTCAAGCGATTCTCCTACCTTAGCCTCCCAGGTGGCTGGGATTACAGGTGTGTGTCACCACGCCCGGCTAATTTTTGTAATTTTAGTAGAGACAGGGTTTCACCATCTTGGCCAGGCTGGTCTCGAACTCCTGAGCTCGTGATCCACCCGCCTTGGCCTCCCAAAGTGCTGGGATTACAGGTGTGAGCTACTGCACCGGCCTCTTTTTTGTTTTTTGATTCAGTCTTGCTCTTTCGTGCCCAGGTTGGAGTGCAATGTGCTATCTCGGCTCACTGTAACCTCCACCTCCCATTTCAAGCGATTCTCCTGCCTCAGCCTTCCAAGTAGCTGGGATTACAGGCATCCTGTCACCATTCCTGGCTAATGTTTTATAATTTTAGAGAGATGGGGTTTCACCATATTGATCAGGCTGGTCTCGAAATCCTGACCTCAGGTGATCCACCTGCCTTCGCCTCCCGAAGTGCTGGGATTACAGGCATGAGCCAATGTGCCTGGACCACAGTTACAATTTTATGTGTATCTTTTCCTCCTGTTGTCCATGCTGGAGTGCAATGGCACGATTTCTGTTAACTGCAACATGCACCTCCCGGGCTCAAGCAATTCTTCTGCCTCAGTTTCCTGAGTAGCTGGGGTTATACCAGGCGCCTACCACTACCCCTGGCTAATTTTTGTATTTTTAGTAGAGACGGGGTTTCACCATGTTGGCCAGCCCAGTCTTGAACTCATCACCTCAAATGATCTGCCCTCCTTGGCCGCCCAAAGTGCTGGGATTGCAGGCATGAGCCACCATGCCCAGCCCTCCTCCTCCTTTTAAAATGCATTTATACATATGCATGCATATCTAAGGAAAATACAACATTGCCTTATGATTTAAAATATTTAAGTTAAATGATATTATGCTGTATATGTCATTTTTGCAACTTGCTTCTTTTTTTTTTTCTGCCTGCCTTGGCCTCCCAAAGTGCTGGGATTACAGGCGTGAACCACTGTACCCAGCTACAACTTGCTTCTTTTTAAGCCCTGCTCAGTGTTTCTGAGACTGACAAGCATTCCCTCTTTGGCTAAACTTTAGTCAGGTTCCTCAAAGAGTCCTGTTTTTCAGCAGGACTCATCTTTGGCCTGCTGAGCACAGTTTTAGCAAAGAAATCAGCCCCCGCTGCACCTTCAAACCTAACCAAATTGTCCTTAGTAATTTTCTATAAATTCTCACTTGTCCCTGTTGTATTTGGAATTGAATTCAATCTCTCTACTCTATTACAATGGTCTTGACTCCTGTTTCAATAGTCTTTGATAAAGTTTTCCTTGGAAAGAAGAGGAACTTGATTAGACATTGAGGGTGGGAGAAGAGGAGCTGGATTGGATATCAAGAGTGGGAAAACTTTCTGTGAACTGACTTAGGATTTCTTTTTTTTTTTTTTTAAGTTCTGGGGTACGCATGCAGAATATGCAGGTTTGTTACATAGGTATACCTGTGCCATGGTGGTCTGCTGCATCCATCACCCCATCATCTATATTAGGTATTTCTCCCAAGGCTCTCCCTCCTCCACCCCTCAACCCTGACAGGCTCCAGTGTGTGTGATGTTTCCCTCCCTGTGTCCATGTGTTCTCACTGTTGAACTCCCACTTATGAGTGAGAACATGAGGTGTTTGGTTTTCTGTTCTTGTGTTAATTTGCTGAGAATGATGGTTTCTACCTTCATCCATGTCCCTGCAAAGGACATGAACTCATCCTTTTTTATGGCTGCATAGTATTCCACATGACACATTTTCTTTATCCAGTCTGTCACTGATGGGCATTTAGGTTGGTTCCAAGTCTTTGCTATTCTGAACAGTGCCACAGTAAACATTTGTGTGCATAGACACAGTCTTTATTACCTGAGGTTAGGAGCTCAAGACAAGCTTGGCCAACATGGTGAAACCTCATCTCTACTGAAAATACAAAAATTAGCCGGGCATGGTGGCAGGCACCTGTAATCCAGGCTACTCAGGAGGCTGAGCCAGGAGAATCACTTGAACTTAGGGGGCAGAGGTTGCAGTGAGTCAAGATCATGCCACTCCAGCCTGGGTGACAGAACAAGACCAAGACTCAGTCTCAGAAAAAACAAAACCAAAACCTGAGGTCAGCAGGCCAAGGAAGAGCCCTAGTCAGAAGAGAGCTTCAAAGGAGTCTGTCTGACTTTAATTGATTAACAGGGAAGTCAGTTCTTGTCGGTGTACCAATTAAAATAATCTCTCATACCATTAGTTCTATCTTTCCCTCTTTGGAAAACACCGTTACAGTTTAGTTCATCTCCAGCTAATAAACACTTAGTTCTGTTTCAGACTGATTAATTTCTTTTTTTTGAGACAGAGTCTTGCTCTTTTTGCCTAGGCTGGAGTGCAGTACCTCAACAGAGGGAGATTCTGTCTCAAAAAAAAAAAGTGGCATATTTTTGTTTTAATTTGTATTTCCCTGATTTCTGTTTAATTATGATTTTTATGTGTTTCTTTTTCTTTGTTGAAGGTTTCAAATGTACTTTATTTCTTCAATAATGCCATATCTTAATGGGTACACAGTGCTTTAACTTGGCATCAACTATGAGATGTTTTTTAAACAATTTATTATTACACCAGTTGGGATTATTACTAATCTCTCCATTCCTTTGGAATGACTCTGCCAACAGGGGAAAGGGTCCATTCTATTCCGATTTGTGTTGCTACATATGTCCATACAGCAATACAGAAAGTGGTTCTACCAGCTAATACAGCATTCCCATATTTGTCATGGAAATCGGGTGTACATTTCTGGTGGCTCAGCCTTGCCATTGTTTGCTGAATGCTTCAAACTTGGAGATGACTTAGTGCTTGACCAAGGGAAACATCATGAAGGTGAAGATAGAATTGTAGCAATATAGCTGCTGCTTTGGTGTTAATTCACTTACCCTTTTTCATTTCTTATTGAGCCCTAATATTTAAAGTCCTTGCCTTTTCTTCTAGATCAAAACTCACCAATGAAGACTTCAGGAAACTTCTCATGACCCCCAGGGCTGCACCTACTTCCGCACCACCTTCTAAGTCACGTCACCATGAGTAGGTCTTTGGGTGATCCAACCTGTCTCCCAGCTTTTTCCTTGCTTCTTCCTATTTCTTTCTGCCGAAGTAGAATGACTTTTAATAGTCCCTCAGATATTTATGATGCTCTCTAAAGTTTGAGAACTGCTCACCTACGGATATTGATGTGGATATCTGCCTGATTGAAACTGTTACTTTGGTCAGTATTCTAGGTCTTTCTAAAAGTCAGCAAGGACATTTCTTGGGGTTTCTGGGGCTGTGATAATATTTTACTGTCAGTGAATTTCTTGTCTCTTTTAGGATGCCAAGGGAGTACAATGAGGATGAAGACCCAGCAGCACGAAGGAGGAAAAAGAAAAGGTGAAGGGTTTTAGATTTTAAAGTGGATAGTGTTTAGGGGAAAGAAGTAGGGACTAATTATGAGGCTAGACATTAAGGTTTTGTCTTGATGCTCTCTACTTTCTTAATGGAGCAGAGTGATACTTAGACTGGCAATAGAGGGCTTTGGAATTGGCCTGTCTACATTTTACTTTATTTTATTTTGAGACGGAGTTTTGCTGTTGTTACCCAGACTGGAGTGCAATGGCACGATCTTGGCTCACCGCAACCTCCGCCTTCTGGGTTCAACCAGTTCTCCTGCCTCAGCCTCCGGAGTAGCTGGGACTACAGGCGCGCACCACC